GCAGTACGAACGTATGGCCCAAGTCGCTGAACGATCCGTCGCCTCCACGACCGTGAATGCCGGTGTGTATCATGTACTGCCCACGTCGGAAACCACATGGAATTCGTTGATCAATTTGTGGCGTTTCGAAGGAATACGCGGCCTGTATCGTGGTTTTCTGCCCGGACTGTTCGGAGTCAGCCACGGTGCGATACAGTTCATGCTATATGAGGAAATGCGCAATGCGTACAATCAACACTACAGGGAACGATCTGTGAATGCAAAGTTGGTACGTGTTGTTTTTAACAAGAAAAAAATTCATCATCCTTACCAACTCCGCCCGCCGTCCGGTTTCTGCTGTGCATTCGTGGTGATATGGAACGCATTATCCATAGTGCAAACGAGAAATTCGGAGAGAGACATTGCCGTTTGATTGGCTGTTACGCGCAATTTGGCTAATCACTACGGATAGAAAAATAGGCTGCCAAAATCACCGCAACGTAATTTTGCAGGAGTTTTCTTGTGACATAATAACACAGCATTTGTATGAATAATTCGTCGTGTAAATGAGGCATAAGCGGATGAGACCTAACCAGGCCAAAACAGCTGCCCAGTGTTTCCCAGCTCACGACAAATTCATCGTATAAACAAATCAACTCCTCTATTCTCATACCACAAAAATAAGCATTCATTTCATTATAGTAATTGAGATCTATTTCACGAAATGATATCATGATATCATGAAATGATATCTCTATTATCAATATCAATGTGGAACCACTTGTTTATCACACGGTCTACAATCAAGCAGCTGGGAACAAAACAACATCAAGATATACTGTGCAGGAATCTTCCTCTGTAACTATCGTTTTGTTTGATATGCGAATGGTTCAACTAATCCGTCTGATTAGAAAAAAAAAATTGGAGTGGGGGAGTTTTACTTGTTTGTGACAGCACCCCAATTTGAGTTGCCGAATACACTCAGGTCTAGTTGAACGCTAACACATCGCGTTTATCGTCCTTCCTGTTTAAGCAATATTCCCTAATGAATTGGTCTAATTTCACTGGCATTTTACTCGATCAACATAACATTGACGGCTCAACGTTTGTTTGGTGTAGATTCCATCCGTATTTGATTATTCAAATTATAGAAAGTATGTGTATGCAGGCTGTCAGCAGTGCTGTGACTCCCACCCCCGTCCTTTCTTCCTTTTCGTTTCAGACGGCACTGGAGTATTTGACGTTCGCCTCCCTGTCCAAATTGATGGCAGCTGTCTTGACCTATCCGTATCAGGTACTTCGTTCACGGTTACAGGATCAACATCGCAACTATCGGGGTTTTACGCATGTCATTGAGGAACTATGGAGGTCAGTTTTATCGCCGTCGCGCTCGCGCTGCGTCCCATTTCTGTTGAATTGATAACGTTCTTGGTCCTATAATTTCTCTCTCTGTCCTTCTGGCTACCACCTTACCTCTCCGCGTACCATCAAACAAACCGTACAAATCGAGATCACCCCATGAGTAGAATCTGTGAATTCACACGGCGACCTGCAACGAATTTCCTCTCTCCATGTAGCCATATTTTCCCAGTAGTCTTCTTCGTATGTAAAGGTCAATGTCATCATCATCATTGGCGTCGTCGAAACCCGACTTCAGGGCATCTTTCACGACCACTCACTCCACCTTCTCCGGATTTTTTTGTGCCGCCTGCACACGGCCCTTGAGAAGAGCTCGGGGGACCGTCAACTTCTCCGAGTTCAACCGGATCCCTGTCAGATCCGCGACGTCCTCAAACTCTTCCAACAAGATCCGAATAGCTCCATCCGCGAAAACACTGCAAGTCATGGTGCCTTCATCCTGGCTAACAGTTGAATATGAGAAGTCATGGACTGTGTTGTATTGCGACAGATTTTTGTAAACAGTTATGCGCATATATATATATATATATATATATATATATATATATTCAAAAGTCACCCGGTGTTACAAACAAGGTTAGTGTGACGAAAATACACTTCCTGGGTACAAGTATATGAATGAACCGGAAAAAGATTACCGGATACGTATGCCTGACGATCGGCAAGAACCGCGAAACCGGTCGTGTGCTTCAGGGAAATTTTGTCCAGTCATTCACATACTACTTATTATGATGTTTATATATATCTGGAAGCATCATATTCCCCACCGATTACATTACCTGCATCTTTCTCGAAATTATCACATCAAGAGGAATATGAGAATGTAAGTACATCACATCCAATCCTCTAACGACATTTCTCTCTCTCTGTCTTGGCGGAAACGAACCCGTAATGTGTGTAAGCATCAAACATGCTAGTCAGGTCTACCATCTTTCCAGAAAAAAATTGACGGGACCACCAAAAGAACGTTTATATTTTCGTGAGCTACACAACTGAGGCACTCAGGCATCCAGCACTTCTGCCTCTGGTTCTTCTCCTCGACTCACGCTACTGAAGGAACAGTGACGCGTTACCTGTTCCAACTAAACTGGCTTTTACATGTCCACCTATTCTAGGGGTTTATTCAAAACTGGAACAATGATTTGATATTGGTGCGGTACTGGAAAAACGAACCCAGAATCGTGGTTCACCTCAGTGAATATGCCTGAATCAGTGAAACGACCCGTATCACTTATGAGGGCCCAACGTTTGAGCGAGACACTTCACACGTAATGCAGCTGCAAGGCACATTTATGCAGGTGAGTTAGTGCAGATCACCGGTACGGTGGAGAATCAGTTAGACTAATAATAATGATAATAGCATACCAGTTGTACAACGGATGAAATATATATTGAGAGAGGACCTCATCGTACCAGAGATCCCTGAAGGAATTGAGATGGCCAGAGTTTGAGGAACGAACAAAAAACAAGGGGTAGGATTAGGGCCTGTGATTTTTCACCCTCGTTTCCTATCACCAGTAGGGCACGACAGGGTTGCCCTATCTCTCCATTTCCCTTCGAGTTTGCCGCAGTTGATGTTCTGGCAAGAGCTTTGCCCAACGTAACGAATGCTGGTACCGAGTTTCGTCCTGTATACAGAGTCGTAGACTTTGACTTATATATGAAGTAACCTGGATAGCGGGAGATCACCTGAATCGTTCGCTGAAATATTCCGCCCAGCGGTCAGGTCGTTGATCCCAAGTGTGAATAGCTTGTCCCACCTTATCGCAGACTGTTTCACGTCTTTGACTATTCCCTGATGCAGCTACTACTTCCATATCACTAGCTATTGTTGCCCACTAATTCTCACGGTCCTTCTTGAGGCTCTTCGTAAGGTTTACGTTGCAGATGCCACTCAACTCTCTTTTGATCCTGGCAGGTCGGGATTTGTCGTCTTTTATCCATCAGGGCAACTGACTCCTGAGATATCCAATACCTCCGACAGGCTTGAGGCTCAGACCGACATTCGCTGCGGAATACATTGCTAGTCTAATCTGATCCCGCTGCTCATCAATATCATCACGTTGAGGCGCACTTAGCTCACATACGAGCTCTGACTCATAGAGTGCACGAACGGCTGGAACAGATAGTCAATGCTGAGCTGTCCGTTTTTGCTGGTTTTGTCACCGGCCAGTCAGTCGGAGAGTGAACTGCATCAAAACTAATGCGTGATTAAACTCAACGCAGGTGGTCCAATAGGACCTGCAATTTTGCACTGAGCCTCTTCCAGAGAGACTAAATCAAGGTCTTCTCTTCGGGAGGACGTGGTTGTTTGTAATCCATCGATCTGATTGACTTCCTGAATGTCAGCTGCGGTGTACATAGTGAAACCAACCGCGCTGCGAGGTGATAGAAAGTAGAGTATGATTATCATGACATAACCCTCCTCTTGAAACAGTGCTGGCTAGGAACCTGTTCGATAGATTCGTGCGATTGGATCCCCAGTATCTATGATGCAATGGCTGGAAATGACTCGGAAGCGAAAGACATTTATTAATGATCAAGCCTCTGATTTAAAATACTTTTTTTAATCTATTTATCACTCGTTCCTTTTCCCTAATCATGAACTATTATTTGTCTTCTTTTTCAGAGGTGAAGGCTTCTTCGGTTTCTACAAAGGCCTAATTCCCAATCTGTTGCGTGTCACTCCCGCATGTGCAATCACTTTTGTCATTTACGAGTACACCGTGGACTTTCTCCGAACAAGGGCGTGGTTCTAGCTTCAGCCTCCCCCTCCCCCCACATCCCCGGTCGAAAACTTGGATCACCCCCACTGTATGATCGTCCCGCCCTCGACCCACTCATATTGGCATATTGCTGAGGTTGTGCTCTCTTCTCTTAACCAGCCCCCACCATCCTTTGCGTTTAGTGAATCGTGTGTATTTTTATAGAGCCACATATCACGTGTAACCAGTAGTGTTTTCTGTCTTTCTCGCTGTATAGTTATTCCGACTCCAAACCAAAATCCTCCTCTTCAAGATGATCCTCGTTTTCTACTGACATTCCCGTCAACTGAACAACGTTGTCACTGAATCTTGTCCCCTGCGAGCGGCGAATCGTATGGAACTACTATCCATCACTAAACCGGATTTGACAGAACAACACGAGTAGCGAATAAGCTCGTTTTCAATAACTTCATCCTCTGACTAATGCAGTTATATACATTCAATGAATAAACGTGCAAAAAATAATGTCAGAACAAAAAAATGCATTGGCGTGGGAGTGGTTGGGAAAGACGTGAAAACAAAAATTGTTAATCTGTGGTTTAGATTAGGGAATCGTGAGAACAGAGAAAGGAGAGGGATGAAACAGGAAGGGCAAGGTCACGAGAAGCGTCATGGATGAATTGACGTTCAGTGTCGGGTCTAGGCCAGGGTAACTGTAGGGCTTTGACGAATTGTTTTTGTGAGCGTAGAGTTGGGCACAATCATCTTATTGCTACCGCCTCTGCTGTCGGAGGGGTTTGGGGGTACCTTGTAGATAATCTTGAACGCATCTTCAGTTATCTGATGTCCGGTATCTACGAGGTGCGCCGTGATTGCACTCGAAACGGTTCTTGTGTCTAACTAAGCCGGTTCGTGTTCCTTGATTCTTTGAGAAAAAACTGCCTGATCGTCCTGCCTATGTAGCTTGCCGAACATGAGCAAACAAAAGAATAGGTCAACACGTAGGAAGTGAGGATAGGCAATTTATCTTTGAGATTCGATGACATCGAAGATCGGCTGGTGAATTGTGTACGTAACCGGACCGCAGGAAACGTCTGAGCGATCAACTTATCTAGGCGTCTTTTTAACAAATCGCATTTGTAGTCACCTTTGAACGGGAGATGTACATAAATTTGCTTTTGGCTTACTGCAGTCACCGTTGTTCTTTTGGCTCTTTCACAGATATTCTTTTCAATAAATCTCTCGGGCTTGCCTGAGCCGGTTCAATTCTAACTCCAGGTTTTCTGTTGAACATATATTTCTGACGCGAGCAGCTAAGGATCGGACTAGGTTTCGCTTTCGCCCCAAAAATACAAAACTGGCGAAATGAGTGTACTGACCTGTCCATTCGGGTTTCCTGTAGACTGCTCTTCTAATTGTTCTGTCCGATCGTTTGGTAAGATGAACATCTAGAAAATGGAATGTGTTGGCCGTTTTCATTTCCAACGTAAAATTGAGCGCGTCGTGAGCTCGGTTAAACGTGCTGGTCAGTGTTTGCAACGGTATATTCTCGTCAACTAATCTGAAGATATCATCAATTTAGAATGGTAAAACTTCTATGATATCTCGGAGTTCCTGGTTTTTCAATTTTGCGACAAATATGTCAGCTAAAAGTGGGCCCAGAAGTGATCTCATTGCAACTCCGTCCGTTTGCCTGTACAATTCTCCGTTGAAACTAAACTGAACGTTGAAGGTACAGCGTAGTAGTAATTCCTTCAAGTTAGCCAATGGAATACCGATGTTTATCTCTTTGACCATGATGTATTCACATAAATAGTTTATTGTTTCCCCCAAAGGAACGTTGGTGAACAACGATGTCACATCTAACGATGCCATAGATAAACCAGTCGTGCGTCGTTTGCGTTTAAGTTCCACAAATTGGAATGTATCCTTCAGACTGTAGTGTGAAATCTGTCTGCGAACAGGTTCCAAAACATCCACAAGCCATTAAGCAACCAAATGGTAAGGAGAAGCGCTCATGTCCAAAATTGGTCTTAGGGGTACGCCCTGTTTATGGACTTTAGATAAACCGTACAGACGAGGGATAGAGGTTCCTGTTGGTCTCAGCTGTTCGTGTGCTGCTTTAGAGATTATATTCTGATCCCTCAGGGACTTAAGTGAAGCGGTTATATTTTCTTCTATCGTGTTCGTTTTATTCCTCTCTCCTTCTACTTTTACGAATGTCGTGGTGTCTCCCAAGATTTTATTCATCTTATTAATATAATCCTCACGGTTCAACAGTGCCAGGCCGGAGCCTTTTTCAGGTTTTGCAATGACAATATCCTTGTTCAGCTTCAGTTTTCTTAACGCCTCCTTGTGTTGGTTGCTTAGGATACTTTTTTTATGTGACTTATACATCCGACGATTCTGATAAGCACAATCTACGAGTGAGGCTTTCAAATCATCAATTGCTTGCTGCTTTGGGGTGACTAAGAAGCTGGTTTTTGAATATAGATTTTCAAACTGAACTTCAACGTCTAGTTGATCATTGTTATGAGATGGACAACAGAAATTCAATCCTAACGATAATGCTTCCAATAGATGAGTATCCATAGGCAAATTGGAAAGATTGTGAACATGCCGCTCTGGACTTGTGGGCAGATCGGTCCTCGGTTTCGTTTGGTTCACAGTCTCTTTCAGTTTAGCCCGTTTCATGTTAGCCCGCTTGGTGCAAATGCGCTCAGCAAACTGCTCGAATAGGTTTCTTCGCTGCTTAACTGGTTGGGGATATATTTTCGTTGCACTCCATTACGCTCTAATTGCTGCGAATTCATTCTTATGGTATCCAGCTGGTTTCTCTCTAGGTTCAGTTGAATCGAAGCACTATCTTCCAGTTTATATGAAAAATGAGATCCACTGTACGGAAGTAGTGGTGGTGGTTCACTATAGAATCAGTTTGTCTATTCTATATTGTCAATGCTGAGGGTTGTAAATTCGAATATAAACAAACAGAAGAATTCACCAGTCAACCGTACTTGAACTTTTCTGAAACGGTGGCATTGTATGCATGCATGACTGTCGCATTTAACCACAAACCTAAAACCAACACGGAGCAAGGCCTTTATACTATATAAACGGAGATGAACGAATGGTAGATAATAATAAAATATCGTGTTTGTTTCATTGGTAATATCAGTGTTTTGGGTTATTGTATTACTCATACAGAAAGTCAGAGTATGAGGTCAACTTGAGAGACCCCTTCTCAAGTCTTCTACAAAAACAGTACGTGATTCATGTGAGACCGATTTTCTTTAGTTTGTATCATACCCATCGGATGGGTCTCCTAGGTTTAGGGTTCCCAATAAATCCCATTGTCCAATCGATACTGTGTATGACCTTGGAATTTGGAATCAGAACTAGCTTTCACCGTGCGCCAAACTTGCCACTGAACGCCGCTTGTCGGCAGCCATCGCCAGAGACATAAATGAAGCCGACTTATCCGTACGCAGGAGTTAGTCACATAAACTTAAGAAGGTCAGGTATACATTTTATCACATAGGTCCATAATTGAGACGTACGTGTGTAGCAGGATTCAACTTGAACCGGTTAAGAGTTCTGACTTGGAATAAGCGGCTCAATGAGTAAATTCAACGCGCCGTACTTGGCTCTCCAAGCGAAGTCGTATCCTTGTTTGGTGTAAATAATAAAACATTCAAGTCAGTTAATCTTTATTAAGGGGTCTGGTGTATGTTCCAAACGCCCGAACAAATAAGGGCTGTCATTAGCTGATTTCAGTTTTAGGTTCATCGTTGTGTCAGCCGTTTGAAACTCATCGAACACGATGTGTGTGTGCTGAAATTAATCATGAATGGTGGCATCAAATGTCCCTGACAAACGCTGTCGTTGTTTTCCATGTTATTGCTTCATTAACGGTAGGATTTTGCCCCCCTAGAAGAACGCATGGCACTATAATCTAGGCAAGTTTCTGTACTTCTAAGAAACTAACAGAGTGAAAAACCAGAATTGCTTCGAGGTTATCTGGATGGCATGTGAATTTGA